TACCACATTTCAGAAATATAGACAGATACCAAATTAACTTTACCTTGAATTAGTGTGGTGTGTCAACATCTTCATTATGACATTATTTTCTCTTGTATCTCTTTCTATCGATTTACGTTGTTTTTACTGTTGATAGTCCTCAAGTGATGTAGTTTCTGTTATTTGTTAGGGATCTTTGTTTGCGATTCTGTAGCGCCAAATGACAATGTTCAATGGAGGCCGGTGTTTGCAAAGACTCTCAGGATTATATTTAACTGTTGATCTTGCTTTATTTGAACAAATTAGCCGTAAATAATTAAGTTCTATTTTATTGCTATCTCTCACTTATATTATTGCCAACTAAGACAGCTATTCTTCTTCTATGTGCCGGGATATAGGAGTTCATGGCTCTTCACAACTTCCTACGCCTTGTGCCTGTTACAGGTTTTCTCCTTTTGCTAAACACATGCCTCCCGTTCCGCCATCTATTCACACAGTTTCCTTTGTAGCCTTTTATTTGAAGTAGTGTGAAGTAGCGTAGTATTGATTATCTGATTATTTACTTTTACATGTGCAACCCATTTTAGTTGTTACTGCTATTGAAAGTCCTCGGTAATATAGTTTCTCTTATCTGGTAAAGTTCTTTGCTTGACATTCTGTAACGTCAAACGACGCGATTCAAGAAACTATAGTCCTCGCTGAGATATACACGTTTTACTCGCTCGAAGCCATCGATCTTAGAAATATAAGTCTCATCGACTTTGGCGCCATTCTTGACCATTATATGAAGATCTCGATCTGAGGAAACTATTTAAGATTATTAATCGCACTTTCAGGTTAATGTTTTGAGTTTTTAGCAACTTAAGTTTGGTTTGGTTTGGTTTGTTTTACCGCATATCCACCGCAATGGGATATTTAACATTTTTATTGCTGGTTATATGTTTTTCTTCAAAAATCTATTTCTGGGAGTATTTTTCCTTGAAGGCATCTATAGCTGGTAATATTTTTTCCAAAGAATGAATAACTGTTTTTATTGCACTTACTTTTTTTTTAAAGTATTGCTGATAATAATTCTTCCTTCAAAAATATTGCTGGTAGTAATTTTTTATTACAAAGTATTTCTGATATTAAAACCTATTTTCACACAACTTTGGGTGTCAACTACCTGCTCATAGCCGGGACCCTAACAGGTGCCAGCACCATCTGGGAACGCCAGCAACCAAGTGGTGGCTCCACGATCTCCAAAAACTCCTGATCATAGGCCTCGCTGTTGGACGTACTTTATCGTCTTACCCAGGACGCGGATGTATTTTATCGTCTTACCCAGGACGCGGATGTAGTTTATCGTCATACCCAGGACGGAAAAACTTACGTTGTTGGGCAAAGCAACCCCTCACACAAACTATTCTATGTTCAATTTCTTCACCCGCCTACTCTCAATTGTAATTATATATATATATATATATATATATATATATATATATATATATATATATATATATATATATATACGAGGTATTTAAAGTGTTTAATATATACTAATTCCATATCCTATTTTCATGAAAGTTTCAGGATATGGTCTTTCAGTGCTTTTAATTCCAGACCATGGCGAGATCGAAAATGTTGGAAAGACAATTATATAAATAACTCCACGCCCCGAAATGACTTGGACGGTCTCTCACACATTGCAAACAGAATGTAATGTCCACGTATCGAACCATGACTCTGGGAGGGGGCAGTTTCACCCGCAAATACTAGACGAAAGTAACTAAAGGAATATTGCAGTGAATAGAATTAAGCTATAACTATAATCTCCAGATTGTGACGTAATACTGTTTTTCATTACACTAGAAATCTTGATAAAATATCTCAACGCGTGTATACCGCGGCCTGTTATAGAAAATAGTGTAAGTGTTTGTTTTCTAAGCGTAGATAGGATGTGGCACAAGTCCGAAAGTATAGGACATCCTGTGAGTATGGATATCACTATTCAGTGGTAATCGATCTAACGTGACAAGTTCCTAAGAGTTACAGCACGCCGAAGTGCTGATTGACATCTTCTAAGTGTAGCTTAGATGCGGCACAAAGTCGCAATTATGGAGCAGCCAGGGACGAACTCTCTACTCAGTCGTAATTGGTCTGCCAATGTAAGTGAATAATTACTTTAACAAACTCTTCAGCCATGAACGTTCTACCTGACTAGGATATTGTTGCTTTTATAATCACCACTTAAAAAGGGTCAATCAAAACTTTGACTTCAAACTTAAAATGCATTCCTCTTTGTCGATATCCTTAATTCTCTGAGATGCTCACCTGTTGTTAAGAATTTCTATCCATTCGCCTTTCTCTTATTTTTCTTTCTTTTGAGTTGATGAAATTCACAGACATTTGCGCAGCGTCTAAATCGAAAAGGATTAGGCCGCGCTGGTCAGTTTATATTAGTCCAATGCATTTGATAGGTTTGACCATCGCTAAATTGCTGCTGTCCTTCAGGCCGCCGGATTCAAACCCGAGTTCTGCCGGTGGATTAGCCTCGTGTATCGCTCCCTGGGTGCTGTGGTACAGGTGAACGGGAAGCTGTCGGGTGCTTTTGCGTTGTCTGGGTTGTCCACCGTCACCCCTAATTTACACTTTGGCGTTGGAGCCTCTCCTTCGCCGGCTAAGGGACAAGGCGTGCTGTCTGGCCCTACGTGGAATTGATGTCCCTGGAGGGGCTCGAGCCAGGGTTTCTGCGTATATCGATGACGTAACTACTTTTCTGTCGTCCCGCAGCGACATTGAGGTGGTAATGAAGGCGCTTGACCGGTACGAAAAGTTGACAGCGGCCAAGATTAACCGTGACAAGTGTTCCGGCTTGCAGTTAGGTGCCTGAAAGGGGGTCAATCTTCCGGAGCCCTTTGGTTGGACAGACGGTCCAGTCCACATTCTTGGAGTGTGGTTTGGACCCGACCTCCAGCTGGAGAAAAATAGCTCAGAAGTACGGGCAAAGGTCGACGCGGCCGGTGAGACTTTTCGCCGACGGAGGTTGTCCGTGAAGGGCAGGGCGTAGGCGTGTGCCACTTACGTTTTTTCTCTTGTCCTTTATCGCTTGTCTGTACTTCCTCTCTGTAAAGATCAATAAGTCATTTCATGGAGGGGACGCAAGCATCAGGTCAACAGAGAAGTCTGTGCACAACGTACGTGTCATGGGGGATGCGAATGCCACACTTGGCGGATTACAAGCTCGCCTCGAAATGGCTTTTCCTACGCCACTGGTTGACAGGGGATTCGATTAAGGCGGCGATTGTAAGAGACGCCTTCCCTTTCCTTATTGTCAGTCCCTCCATTTTACGGGTTGAGCGCCGTCGTAAACCCCGTGAACAATCGGATTTGCTTCGCGAATGTCGATACGCCTTGACTATCACCCCACGGTTCAGTGACCTTTCTCGCCCTAGGAAGGTCTTCTATCGTTATCTAGTGGGGGGGAGTAATTATCCTCTACGTGAGCGGCTCGACTTGTCGGAGGAGGAGTTTCTAGTCTTGGGCGCCAGCGACGGATTACCTCAGCAACCGTGAGTTTTCTCTTACCTGGCGAATGGCTCTGAATAGTGTGCCTCTCAATGACGAGGCCCTCATATGGAGCTTGGCGGATTTGCCAGAATGTGAACGATGTGACCTTGGCTTGGAAGAAAGGGCTTCGCACTCCATCTACCATTGTCCTCGGGTCCTTAGCGAAAAGTGGGTAACTGAGGTGTGCTTGGTTCATGTGAACTGGGCTAGCCTTGATTTTCTCTTTTAGGTCTACCTATGTCTCCTGTAGACCCCCTCCCTGGTTAGGCTAGACAAGATTTCTGTACCTAGTTAATGTGAGTAAGTGTTGTTCCCGGCCACATCTTTGGTTATGATCCAAGATGAGATTCCCAACCTCACCAGTTTGCTTTGGCCCATTTTCATCTCGTCTGGGTCAGCTTTATTGATTCCCCATACCCGTCTATATTTTTTCCTCTCTCCCTTAGCGAGAGACCTTCTTGATTCTGTGGTAGGGCAGAATACAGCGGCCTCTCTTTTTTGAAGGGTTGGGCGGGTCCTACTAACATCAGTTATATTTATGCTTGCTTTGTTTGATATTTTGTTTGTTTATAGGTTCATCCACGCGCCTCTCATTTTCATTCATCCATAATATTTTTATGTATAAATTTTATTATCATCAAATTTTTATGTCACAGGTTGCGTTTTTGTAGATCCCTCTGAGAAGATGCAATGTTATGGCATACGAAGGATTGATTGGTGGCAGATGTGTTTTTGTGATGAATGCGCAAATTGTAACAAATGAATGGGTCTTGAATCGGATTAGCTAGGTATAGCCTCAACCTTTTCCCTCCTTTTGGCCTTGTGCCATAATTGTATTTTTTATACAATAAATATAGAGTCTAAATCGAAAACAATTTATTCTACTCTTTTTCCTTATTATCTGTTTGTTCAGAAAGTAAGCTAATGTATTCATAAAAATTGTGTATATTTCTGCAAGAAGTTGGTGCATAAAAAGGTTGTTTGAAATACCGAATTTTGGAGTAGACACATTTTCTTGAGTTTTCTATCTCGACTCTAGTGTATTAGTCTGACTCTGCCAAAATATCTGCCATTTACTCCATCTTTGATTTAGTTTTTTTTTGCGTTTGTTCGTCTCTTACAAGTGGAACTTTTAATTCGTAATCAGGAACGTCTTTACTCTTCTTTTCTCTTTTTTTTTGTTCATCTTTGCTCTTTTCTTTCTTCATCAACATGTCTCCCTTTTTAATTTTTTTGAAATTACTTTTTTCCTGTATTTTTTTTTTTCAAATATACATTTCCACTGACCTCTTTTTCCGAAACTAATATTTTTTACTTATTGTTACGATTCTTTTAATTCAGCTATCAATTCTTTATTGTTGATGTTTACTTCTTCATCTTTTATCCATTCTTACGGTTCCTTTTTGGTTTCTTCTTTTCTTCTTCTTTTATATCCATTCTGACGTCTTCTCTTTCAACTTCTAGCCATTCTTATGCTTTCTTTTTTACGTTTTCTTCCTCTGTGCATTCTTAGGCTTTCTCCTCCTTCTTATTCTCTTTTTTTCATCCGTTCCTATACTTTCTTTATTACTTCTACTTTTTCTTTCTTTATCCATTCTAACGACTTCTCTTTCTGCTTTTATCTATTCTTACACATTCATTTTTTACTTCTTCATTGTCGCTTTCTTTTTTGAGTCTTGTTTTTCTATCTTCTAACCATTCTTAAGCTTTCTTTTTTTTATTTCTCCTTTTTCTTTTTCTAGCCATTCTTACGGCTTTTTTTACATTCTTCTTCTTCTTCTTCTTCTTCTTCTTCTGTCAATTCCTTTGGCTTTGTTTTCTCCTTCTTTACTTCTTACATCTTCTTTTTCGACTGTCCGCTCTCAGGCTTTCGTCTTCTTCCCCTCCTCCTCCTCCTCCTATTTCTATCCATTTTTTGATATTTTCTTTTATTTTTTTTATTTCTTCTGAGGTTTCATCTCATTTTTCTTTTGATCTTAATGTAAAACTTGTTCGTCTTCATTTTTCTTTTTTCTTTACTGAGGCTGTTCTTCTATTGTCCAACTTTTTCTTTCTTTTCCTCTCTTTCCTTTTTTTTTTTTTTTGTTGTTGTTGTCGTTGTTGTTTTACCTCCTGTGAAATCCGGGTCATATGTACTCAACTTCCCTCTCACCTTTGTGCTTTTCTCCCTCTCTGAACTTGACAAAATTTGACATTCTTCTTCTAATGATTCCTTTTATTTTCTTTTTCGCATTTAGTAATTCTTTCTTCTCTCAGCCAAATCCCGCTCCCCTTGATAATTCTTTTTTTTTTCTTTATTCTTTTCTACTTCAATTCTTTTTCAATGACCACGCAGCTTTTTTTCTCCTTCTTCTTCCTCTACCTTTACTTACGTCCTATTTCTCTGTATTTCTTACTTCTCTTACTCTGTCGTATACTCTTCTATCGCTCTCCTCACTTCCGCACTCTTCACTTCCTTCTCACTGTAGAAACATTCCAACAGTGTTTGTACCGCTACATCTTCACTTGTACTGCGTGACATTCAATCGAATGCTACACTGTTGGCCAGTACTTCTTCCGACCAATCCTTCCACGATCATCTGCACTGTTGCCGTCTTTGCCTCCCAAATAGTCTCGGCCCATTGACCATGTCTCCTATTTGCCAAGCCTCGACTTCTGGACATATTCCCCAGCATACCTACGTAATGTGTTGTTATGGCGATGGATAACCTACCTTGTAGAAGCCATAAGAGTGTGAACATGTCTAGCATAGCAAACGTGATCTTTTATTGCGATAAGACCGTAGTCCATGCCTCGTGACTCAACCTGAGATGGTGCTGAAATTTTCTCGTCTCGACCTACTTCGCATAATCAGACTGAACGAGAAATAGCAAAGTTTCGTTTTTGTTCATTGAAGAGGCGGATGAAATATTCAACAAATCTTCTGTTTTTAATGGAGGCACAATTAATGACTTGTCTAAAGTTTTGTTTTCTATTTAAGAGCTAAATATTTAGCAATCCTATCCTGGAGACATTAGAATAGTAAAATTTCTCGATGGGTTAATGTTAGCTATATGCTAATATATATATATATATATATATATATATATATATATATATATATATATATATATATATATATGTGTGTGTGTGTTGTGTTAGGTGATCATGTATCTTTTAATAAATGACTGGCGAGGCAGATTTTTTCCTGCAGTAGGTTGTCATTTCTTTCTCCAGTAGACTAGTTGCCATCCAAGGCTATAGAACCCGGTCTGTCCTGCTATTTACCCATAGCTGGGAGGGGAGAAGAGGATTCATACTTTTCCCCACGGTATCAGTGAATATAGTGCTTTCGAGTGGAATTCGAACTCTGTTCTCCGATACATCAATCCGAGTCGGTATCGATTATTTCACCGTGCCTTACATTTCACTGTGCATTACCTTCACTTACGTGCTAATACCCTTAGGAAAGGTATGGATCCTCTTCTTATCCCCCCGCTATGGGTAAATAACAGAACAGATCGGGTTCTGTAGCCTTAGATGGCAACTGGTCTACCGCAGAATTAAATGTCAACCTAATGCAGGAAAAAATCTGCCTCGTCTCTCATGTATCGAAAGATACATGATCGCCTAAGCGTGTATCACGCATGGCGCATGACTGACCACAGACCAGGTTTTGTAGTCTTGGATGGAAACTGGTCTACCGCAGAAAGAAATGGCAACCTACTTAGGGAAAAAAATCTGCCTCACCTCTTATGTATGGAAAGATATATGATTGCGTAAGCCTGTATCACGCATAGCACATAACTGATCACAGACCAGGTTCTTTAGCTTTGGATGGCAATTGGTCTACCTCAGAAAGAAATGGCAACCTGCTGCGGGAAAAAAATCTACCTTAGCTCTCATGTATCGAAAGATACATGATTGTCTAAGTGTGTATCACGCATAGAACTAATATGTGACATGGCAAGACGTATCAGTGAAGGTCGGAATTTGTGGAACTAATGAAGGTAGTGTGTTAGAACTTTTTCCACGAAAATAGTGAGTGAATAGAGAGAGGCTTCCGACGTATTATCTGCGAGAAAAAGGTGAATGGGTGGTAAATGATTCACCACGCACGTCTGTATTGATGCATTCGAAGTCGACCATGACTAGAAAGTTTGGAACAGGGCAGCTAGAGCCCAGATATGTCTGCAATACGCCAATGTTGTTCCGATATGCCTATTTTAATGATAGAGCGTAGCAGAAGGCGTCAGATACTTTCTGGAGTGGTACAAGGAATGGAATAGTTTTCCAGCATCTGATTCCAGTGTGCACTGGACATCGCCTGAATATATTTGTATCCGATTGATACTGGAATAAATTACTGAAGCCATAACAGTTCTCTTATCGTTTTCACTTAACTAGCTTTATACACCTTTGCCTTTCTGTTCTATTCTTTGACGCCTCTGGCTTTTTCTATTCCATCGGCAATTCTTCACGCTCAGCGCCGCATCGCAGACTGAATGAACTAAGCACAATTTTATTATTCTTTTTTTTCCTGCGCTTTATTAAAACGTCAAGACACAAAAGTCAGATCATTGTTTCTTTGCGAAAGCGATATGTGGAAAGAGAAAGAAGATAGAGGCAGAGAAAGAAAGAGAGAGACAGGACGAATGTCAACAGGTAGGACAACTACCAGTGTTGGACAGTCTCAGTAAGGAATCTGCGAGCGTTGACTGTCTTCGCCCGTTCAGTTCGGGTCATTAGAGTTTTGACTGGTACCAGGGATTGCCATCACGCGCTAGCCTCATTTTCAACGAATAAAATGATAGAAGGAACACCGCTCTCACTGGATAAAGCCACTGAAGATCGTCTTCATTCGACTATTCAAAAATATTAAAACATACATAACACTATTAGAGAGAAATTAATGTATATTTTTTATATATTTTTTTTTATCTAATTTGTATTCTATACATATTGTAAGACGTAATTCTGTTAAATTTAACCTTCCATATTTTTAAATTAATTTATTTGTACTTTAATCACTTGACGCGTGATTTTATGCTGTATGTTTGCTTATGAAAAATAGATTGTAATTTAGATTAGAAAATATTTCATAAGTTTTGTGAGTTGATACAATCAAGCGAATTAATCTCCGTGAAAATGTATATAGAGTTTTATTTTTATACTTATTTAGCTAATATAATTTAAGCTCTCTTTGAAATCATTTTTTTACAAATAATTTATTTTAGGAATGACTAAATCCGTGTATATTTCTACCAACATAACTTTCTTCCCGAATAAGGGACGCTCGCTTAGCGGAAAAATGTATTAAAAATTTAACATTTGGACACAAACAAACAAAAAACTCTGATATACTTTCGTTCTGATCTGTGGGAGCTAGTCTAAAGATATCGGAACGCGTAATCATGTCAATAAATCAGTTTACAGAATTTGAAATTTTGAAAACTTGGTGTAGATTCTATATGCTAGCGCGCATGCGCACACGCATGCACGAATGTGTGTGTTTGATAGAGAGAGCGAGGTTTCTGTTTACTTACGGCAAGCAACCTGACGTCGCCAATCTTTGAATGAAGCGAGTTCGCTCTTCAACGGATCTTATATTTTTATGTCCCTATACATTTATCCAATTTAGATAATTGGATACTTCTTTTAACCCCATATATATATACTGAAGAAAAATAAAATTGCACCATCCTGAAGAAGTGTACCAATTTTGCTCTGTGGAGCATGTGAATGCTGGTAAGTGAGTCGATATTTTCAAAGTCTTCTGAAATCTTGTGACACAGTAACACTCCTACCACTGAAACGTCTCTGTCTCACGAGAACGGGCGTCTTACCAAGAATACCTTGGCGTGTTAGTTTTGGTGAATTAAAGAAGTTTAATAAGACGGGATTTTGATTATTCGAGAAGCTGGTTGGTCGTTTCGGAGAATTGCTGCGTATGTTGGGTATGACGCCTCGGGTTTGACAGTAATGGTTAAATAGCCATCCCTACTCTCGTAAACAAGATTCTGGACGGTCATGTTGTAGACACGCTCATTAATATTGACGTACTGAAAGAAGAAAATACAACCATGCTTCCACAGCGTAAATAATAGCAAATGTGACTCCAGGACGTCAAAATGAATCATTGGTAATTGTTTGCTTGCAACAAAACTTCGTGTTTCTAGTTAGACTTTCTACTTAAGCCATAACTTCGTCGTTTATTTTACTTGTAGTGATTCTAGAGCGTAACTGGGTGTACGTAATGGCGCTTAGATAGATTCTCTTTACTTGAGAAAGCAAGTCTTGCCTTCATGGTGTAACGGTTTTTTGGGTATATAACATATGTAACTAGTGAGCGAGTCAAAATGACTTAATTCCCTTTATAGTCTACAAATAGAAGGTGGACCAATCAGAAGCCGCACAACACTGTATCCGTCGTGTATAAAGGCGGCCATCTTTGTTTTGCTACCAACCTGACCAGAGGCAACTTGTCCGGCGAACAGGACAGACGGAAGAACTACGCTCTGCTACCTTACTGCTATATCCACTGCGAACCTGCACTACGCTTTCCTACTGTCTCCGAAATATTCACTGCCAACCTCTGGATTCTATACTCGAGGACGACCGTCATGAAAATGTCTAACACATGGAACAGATGGTCGATTGTGAGTGCAGTGGTGATCTAGAAATATCATTATTCAAGATGTATTTCTCCACAAGATACAGGCAAGACCCTTTTTCATCATGTGGTTGTCATACCTTATAGCTCTTGTTCGATTTTGTTTTTGGAGGGAACATTAAATATCTACAACCAGAATCAGCCCGGTTATTTGCCATCATTAAAACAAGAAGATGTACTGTTCCGACAGATTGTATCAAATGGCATAGATGCTATCCAACATACTCTGTAATATATCTAGCAACAATTATATTGTCGAATGGTATTCAACATCTGTACGATCGTATGCATGCCTGAGCACATACATGTTAAAGCTCCAGAACATGGTATTAATATGAAGTCTACGTGAATTTAATCATCATCATTTATTCAGTTTGTGCCTCAGTGGTCACAGCTCTCCACACGTTCACAATTGTGGTTCTTGGTGACATTCAAGGCATAGTAATGCAATGTCATGCCAGATCATTTTGGGGGATGTTGAGATTAGCCCTTTAATCCTCTCAGAATTTAAGGAGGCATGACCT